CAAACTTCACTGAATATGGCCTACAACCTTCAGCAGCTCTTTTGTAATTATGTGCTGTCAAGTGCCCTTGACTTATGGAGACCCAACGAATCAGAAATCTCCAAAATGTCCTGTCCTCAGTCTCCCTGCTCAACTCTTGTAGACTCAAGCCTGTGGTTTCTGTTAGGGAGTCAGTTCATCTCATATTGGTCTTCTTCGTTTCCTGTTGCCTTCCACCTTTCCCAGCATTATTGTCTTCTCCAGGGAATCTTGACTTCTCATGATGTGCCCCAGTTTCAACATTCTTGCTTCCCGAGATAGTTCAGACTTGATTTGATTTAGGACCTGGAGTATTGCGTACTGTTCTGGGGGGCCACACCTCAAAAAGGACATGGTGGAACTGGAAAAGGTGCAGAAGAGAGTGACTCAAATGATGACTGGGCTGGGGCACATTCCCTGATGAGGAAAGGCGACAGCGTTTGGGGCTCTTGAGTCTAGAGAAAAGGCGCCGGAGGGGGGACCTGACAGAGACATATAAAATGATGCAGGGAATGGATCATGTGGATAGAGGGAAGCTCTTTTCCCTCTCACGCATTATTAGAACCAGGGGACATCCAATCCAATGGAGGGTTGGGAGAGTGAGAAGAGACCAAAGAAAATCTTTCTTGACCCAGCGTGTTGTTAATCTGTGGAACTCCTTGCTATAGGATGTGGGGATGGCATCTGGCCTAGATGCCTTTCAAAGATAACTGGACAGATTCCGGGAGGAAAAGTCCCATTGCAGATGAGAAGCCATGATGGGGATGAAGTATAATCTCCAGGCTTTGAAGGAAGGGGCCTCCAAAACGCCAGAGGCAGGGGAGGGGGATCAGGAGACAGGGTCTCTCATGGTCTCGGGTGCTCCCAGGGGCATCTGGTGGGGCCACTGGGAAATCCAGGAAGCTGGACTGGAGGAGACCTTGGCCTGATCCAGCACAGGGCTCTTCTGAAGTTCTTATGAGCCTTTCGCCCTGTCCCTCAAACTTGTATAAAATAAAATAAAGAGTCAAATCTCAACATTCAAAGAGGATGTGTGAAGTGAGCAGTGTGAGAACAGGGAGAACAAACACAGAGAAGGGAAACCAGCCGAATAAATCCTCATTAAACCCAGCTCAAATCCCCTGCTGCTCTGGCCAAATGCTCTTTCAAAATGGTTCAGTGACATTAGCCGGTGAAATCACCATCAGAGCTCACGGTCCATTTACGTATGTCAAAATGTCAAACAGTTGTGCTCCACACATCACGCGCTGTCCCTTAATTCCTCTGTATTCTCTGACCAGATTTGGTTTCTGCACAGTTCATGAGAAGATAAATTTTGTCCTAGTAATACTATAGTGACTCATAAATAAATGGTTACCCTTTGGTGCTTACAGTTTTCATTAAAGCGGCCTGAGCTTTGTTATTGACACCGTAGGTTGCCTATTCAGGGAAATGCAGTAAAATTTATCAGTGTGCTTTCTACACCTAATAAATCATCCAAGCAGGGAACCATCGTTTGCTGTGATATCCTTATTTGTACAAAATAGGCAGTGCTTGCTTCCCAGACGTGAGAAACCGGACAGTGGTGCTTAATTCTGGTTTGGAACCTGATCTACTTACACTCTGTATTCTCTGTTGGCAGCTTGGAGGCCAGCTATGAAGCACTGTTTGCAGAACAAGGAACAGATGGACAAGTCATCGGGAGAAGCGTATGGATGATCAACTCTGGGCTTGCATTATCAGTAGAGGTCTTTTTTCTTTAGCCATCCTTCAGTCTCAAGAGACTATGGTATCGTGCTCTGAATGGAGGTCTTGGAACAGCGTCTAGTGTGGCTGAGGAGGCCAATCCGAGAGTGACAATTCCTTCCACACTGAAGACAAATCCAGTCTGTCCCCTGTCCAGATCCCTGATTTCGGGACTGCCTCTTGGCCTTGGCCTTCTGAACAAGGGTCTCTTCAAAATGGGAGAGGCCGCGATGCACCGCCTGCCTCCAGGCTAAGCACTCAGAGGTCGAGGTTTCCCATCTGTTGAGGTCCATTCCTAAGGCCTTTAGATCCCGCTTGCAGATCTCCTTGTATCGCAGCTGTGGTCTCCCTCTGGGGCAATTTCCCTGCAATAATTCTCCATCCAGGAGATCTTTTGGAATCCGACCATCAGCCATTCTCACGACATGCCCAAGCCAACGTAGACATCGCTGATTCAGTAATGTATACATGGTAAAAATTCCAGCTTGTTCTAGGACTACTCTCTTTGGAACTTTGGATGAGAATTTTTTTAAAAAAATCTCAGATCTCTGCACTGTTGAGCAACATGTGTGTGGGGGGGAGCTGGTGGGGGCTGCACAGAAGGCTCCCTGGTGGTGTTTCAGCATGACATCATTTCCAGAGGCAGCAGACTGGTTTCCTTCGCCCTGCCTGGGCGACAGCTGTTTCCAAATCAGGCCTGGATTTTTCCCAGGATATAAAGTGTGTCTCAGCATTTACCTGCCAGGCTTCTCTATGGGTCTGCTTCATTTTCTGACTCTATGCCAGTGTGGGTTTTGACTGGATTTTCCCCATGGGGCTTGGTACTAGAGACGTGCATCTCCTGCATCCACACTCTATGACGCTGCCGACGTTTTCTGTCACAAGATTTGCATGGCAGGACAGCCTGCGAATGCAGTGGTTCAAAACTTGGGTTGACCCCGGCATTCTTGGACTGCAATTCCCAGGTGCCTTCACCACTGGCTGGGCAGCACAACGAGCGGCGAAAGCTTCAGGGAATTGCAGTCCAAGAACATCTGGGTCACCCAAGGTTGGAAACCACTGTGCTAGAGTATTTCACCATGTTAATTAGGAGGACAGTCTGCCTGTGTGGATTTCTTGTTTCTGGCATGGAAAAATGCCTGGCGGTCGTAATTACAGAACTAGAATGTCTCCTTGTTCGTCTGTCCGGGAGAGAGGCACTTGCCCCCCGGGCCCAATGAAAACATGTACCAAAAGCTCAAGGCAGAAGCTCATGCTGTCTTGTTTGATGTTCTAGTTTGAGAGCAGCTGGCTCGTCCAGAAAGCTATGGTGGTGACAAAGGCCAAAGCATATCATTCCATTGCAAAATTCTACCTGACAATGGCTAGCTATTCATTCCTGCATTGTGTCAACAAATACACTTTTTTTTTAAAAAAAGGAAGAAAGAGCAATATCCTGCTGAAGAGTCCCAGTGGCATTTAGAATTACATGCCCTGTAATCCAGTTGTGAAACCCAAGAATTACACCTGAGCAATTAAACGATCAGAACTCCTGGAGGAAATGTTATGACAAAGAGATTGGCAAACTCCTCATTGTAATGTCCTGTGGGCAGGTTCCTGTTTGATCATTCTACG